AGCGGCGGGCCCCTCGGTGAGAGGGAGGGAGGGCAGCGGCGGGCCCCTCGCTGACAGGGAGGGAGGGCAGCGGCGGGCCCCTCGGTGAGAGGGAGGGAAGGAGGGAGGGCAGCGGCGGGCGCCCCGCTGAGAGGGAGGGAGGGAGGGCGGGCGGCGGGCCCCTCGGTGAGAGGGAGGGAAGGAGGGAGGGCAGCGGCGGGCGCCCCGCTGAGGGGGGGGAGGGAGGGCGGGCGGCGGGCCCCTCGCTGAGGGGGGGGCGGTGGGCCCCTCGGTGAGAAGGAGGGAGGGCGGCGGCGGGAGCCCCGCTGAGAGGGAGGGAGGGAGGGCGGGCAGCGGGCCCCTCGCTGACAGGGAGGGAGGGCAGCGGCGGGCCCTCGGTGAGAGGGAGGGAGGGAGGGAGGGCAGCGGCGGGCCCCTCGCTGAGAGAGGGAGGGAGGGCGGGCGGGCAGCGGGCCCCTCGGTGAGAGGGAGGGAAGGAGGGAGGGCAGCGGCGGGCGCCCCGCTGAGAGGGGGGGAGGGAGGGCGGGCGGCGGGCCCCTCGCTGACAGGGAGGGAGGGCAGCGGCGGGCCCTCGGTGAGAGGGAGGGAGGGAGGGAGGGCAGCGGCGGGCGCCTCGGTGAGAGGGAGGGAGGGAGGGAGGGCGGGCGGTGGGCGCCCCGCTGAGAGGGAGGGAGGGCGGGCGGGCGGGCGGCGGGCCCCTCGGTGAGAGGGAGGGAAGGAGGGAGGGCAGCGGTGGGCGCCCCGCTGAGAGGGAGGGAGGGAGGGAGGGCAGCGGCGGGCCCCTCGCTGAGAGGGAGGGAGGGCAGCGGCGGGCGCCCCGCTGAGGGGGGGGAGGGAGGGCGGGCGGCGGGCCCCTCGCTGAGAGGGAGGGAGGGCAGCGGCAGGCCCCTCGCTGAGGGGGGGGCGGTGGGCCCCTCGGTGAGAAGGAGGGAGGGCGGCGGCGGGAGCCCCGCTGAGAGGGAGGGAGGGAGGGCGGGCAGCGGGCCCCTCGGTGAGAGGGAGGGAGGGAGGGAGGGCAGCGGCGGGCCCCTCGCTGACAGGGAGGGAGGGCAGCGGCGGGCCCTCGGTGAGAGGGAGGGAGGGAGGGAGGGCAGCGGCGGGCCCCTCGGTGAGAGGGAGGGAAGGAGGGAGGGCAGCGGCGGGCGCCCCGCTGAGAGGGAGGGAGGGAGGGCGGGCGGCGGGCCCCTCGGTGAGAGGGAGGGAAGGAGGGAGGGCAGCGGTGGGCGCCCCGCTGAGAGGGAGGGAGGGCGGGCGGCGGGCGCCCCGCTGAGGGGGGGGCGGTGGGCCCCTCGCTGAGAGGGAGGGAGGGCGGGCGGCGGGCGCCCCGCTGGGGGGGGGCGGTGGGCCCCTCGCTGACAGGGAGGGAGGGCAGCGGCGGGCCCCTCGGTGAGAGGGAGGGAAGGAGGGAGGGCAGCGGCGGGCGCCCCGCTGAGAGGGAGGGAGGGAGGGCGGGCGGCGGGCCCCTCGGTGAGAGGGAGGGAAGGAGGGAGGGCAGCGGCGGGCGCCCCGCTGAGGGGGGGGAGGGAGGGCGGGCGGCGGGCCCCTCGCTGAGGGGGGGGCGGTGGGCCCCTCGGTGAGAAGGAGGGAGGGCGGCGGCGGGAGCCCCGCTGAGAGGGAGGGAGGGAGGGCGGGCAGCGGGCCCCTCGCTGACAGGGAGGGAGGGCAGCGGCGGGCCCTCGGTGAGAGGGAGGGAGGGAGGGAGGGCAGCGGCGGGCCCCTCGCTGAGAGAGGGAGGGAGGGCGGGCGGGCAGCGGGCCCCTCGGTGAGAGGGAGGGAAGGAGGGAGGGCAGCGGCGGGCGCCCCGCTGAGAGGGGGGGAGGGAGGGCGGGCGGCGGGCCCCTCGCTGACAGGGAGGGAGGGCAGCGGCGGGCCCTCGGTGAGAGGGAGGGAGGGAGGGAGGGCAGCGGCGGGCGCCTCGGTGAGAGGGAGGGAGGGAGGGAGGGCGGGCGGTGGGCGCCCCGCTGAGAGGGAGGGAGGGCGGGCGGGCGGGCGGCGGGCCCCTCGGTGAGAGGGAGGGAAGGAGGGAGGGCAGCGGTGGGCGCCCCGCTGAGAGGGAGGGAGGGAGGGAGGGCAGCGGCGGGCCCCTCGCTGAGAGGGAGGGAGGGCAGCGGCGGGCGCCCCGCTGAGGGGGGGGAGGGAGGGCGGGCGGCGGGCCCCTCGCTGAGAGGGAGGGAGGGCAGCGGCAGGCCCCTCGCTGAGGGGGGGGCGGTGGGCCCCTCGGTGAGAAGGAGGGAGGGCGGCGGCGGGAGCCCCGCTGAGAGGGAGGGAGGGAGGGCGGGCAGCGGGCCCCTCGGTGAGAGGGAGGGAGGGAGGGAGGGCAGCGGCGGGCCCCTCGCTGACAGGGAGGGAGGGCAGCGGCGGGCCCTCGGTGAGAGGGAGGGAGGGAGGGAGGGCAGCGGCGGGCGCCTCGGTGAGAGGGAGGGAGGGAGGGAGGGCAGCGGCGGGCCCCTCGCTGAGAGAGGGAGGGAGGGCGGGCGGGCAGCGGGCCCCTCGGTGAGAGGGAGGGAAGGAGGGAGGGCAGCGGCGGGCGCCCCGCTGAGAGGGGGGGAGGGAGGGCGGGCGGCGGGCCCCTCGCTGAGAGGGAGGGAGGGCAGCGGCGGGCCCTCGGTGAGAGGGAGGGAGGGAGGGAGGGCAGCGGCGGGCCCCTCGCTGAGAGGGAGGAGGGAGGGAGGGCAGCGGCGGGCCCCTCGCTGAGAGGGAGGGCGGGCAGCGGCGGGCGCCCCAGCGCGGGAGAAGTAAGCGGGTGACACGGATGAGACACCCAGCGCAGAGCTGCCAGTGCCGTGGGTTGTAGTAGCAGCTGGGTCGCCTGTCAGGGTCCTGGGCGGAGGTGGGGGCGTGGGGGTGAATGCTGGGGGAGCTTCCGTCTCAGAACTTGCCATGAAGGGTCCGGCAGGAGCACGGTGCTCCCGGTAAGGCCGCCTGCCTTCGTGTGCATTTGAAGGGAGAGGAAGGCCCACTGTGGCCTCTGGGGCCTGTGGCTGCCCAGGGCTGCTCCCCTCCTTTCCAACCGGCGTCGCAGAGCCCCGACTTTGGGGCTCCAGGTTCTCACTAGTCGAGCGACTTCCAGAGAGGTTTCTGAAATCCACAGCCCCTCGTTTCACTCCTCAAATGGGGATGACAGTAACACTGATGCTAGGCTTGTGGCGAGTATAAGGGAGAACGGTCCGTGACCCAAGTAAGCAGCACGTGAGTGAGTGCTTAGGTATTAGATAAGGACCCCAAGGATCTCACAGCCACCTCGAGAGCAGAATTCGTGGGAAGAAGAGGAGAAGTTGAGCCCAGAGTAAAGGTTTCAGGTCAACATATAAAGTAAGCCTGAAGTCTAGGCTGGAGCTTAGGTTCATAATTTTCTGGTCGGGATCCTGGGAAGGCAGTAGTGGGGTGTGGGAGCGGAAACCAGGAGTACAGGGTCTTCCAGGATGGAGATGTCCTTAGGGAGCCTGTGGGGTGAATAACCTGGGTTGGGAAGTAGCAGGGCCCGCGGGGGAGTATTTCCCAGTAACACAGGGATCTGGAGATGTTTCTGTGTCTAGACCAGGGTTTCTCGTTCTTTGCATTGTGGATCCTTTGGGCCAGGTCATTTTTTGCTTAGGGGTGTGTGTATGGTGGTGGCGGGAGGGGCTGCCCTACCTTTTGTAGGATGTGGTCTCTATACACCAGATGGCAGCAGCACATCCCCCTCCTGCCCCAATGTGAAAGCAGAAATGTTTCACGCATTGCCAGGTGTCTCCTGAAGGGCGAAATCACCCCGGTTGAGAATCACTGGTGTATAGAGCCACGATGAGGGCGCCCCGTGGACTTTACCAAGGTGTGAGGATAGGGAGGACAGTGAGGGGGCTGGAGGAAAGAAGTGATAAAGGGATGATGTTCTCTAGATGAGAAGCTGTCTGTGGTCTGTGGTCTGGATAGGCTCTAAGAGGCTTCACTCATTCGTGTAGTGGCCTGCCATGGGTCAGGCACTGTGTTAGTTAACTGACAAGACAGAGATTACTACTCATCTGGAGTTTGCATTTTATAGGAAGGCAATTCAATTTATATGGAGTGGTCATAAGTGTTTGGAGAAGTAAAGTAGGGTGAGGAGATTATGGGTTAAGCACAGGATCAACACCCTGGCTTCCCATCTCATTCAACTCCAAAGCCAGTAATAATGGCCACCAGCAGTGACTTGATGGTTATCCTTCAGTAAGGGAATCCAGAGTTTGGCTTTGAGCTTATCACAGACTTTTCTTCTTAAGTACTAAGGTCTGGGTTTCAGCAGGGTGGGGGGGGGCGGGGGGGGCGGATCTTCCACCCTGCCCCCTGAGGCTCATAGAGACTGGCATAATGGTTCTAACTATGGCTTCCTGGGGCTCCTGGGTGGCTCGGTCAGTTAAACGGCTGCCTTTGGCTCATGTCATGATCTCTTGTGCTCTCTGTCTCTCTCGTATAAATAATCTTTAAAAAATAAAATAAACTGGGGCGCCTGGGTGGCTCAGTCGTTAAGCGTCTGCCTTCGGCTCAGGTCATGATCCCAGGGTCCTGGGATCCCACTCCACCTGCTTATGTTCCCTCTCTCTCTGTGTCTCTCTCTGTCAAATAAATAAATAAAATATTTTTTAAAAATAAACTATGGTTTCCTATTAGCATCACCTTCAAAAGCTTTTATTTTTTTTATTTTTTTAAGATTTTTATTTATTTGACAGAGAGAGACACAGCGAGAGAGGAAACACAAGCAGGGGGAGTGGGAGAGGGAGAAGCAGGCTTCCCGCCGAGCAGGGAGCCCAATGCGGGGCATCCCAGGACCCTGGGATCATGACCTGAGCCGAAGGCAGACGCTTAACGACTGAGCCACCCGGGTGCCCTGAAAGCTTTTATTTTTTTTAAAGATTTTATTTAAGAGAGGGCGCCTGGGTGGCTCAGTTGGTTGAGCGACTGCCTTCAGCTCAGGTCATGATCCTGGAGTCTCAGGATCGAGTCCCGCATCGGGCTCCCTGCTTGGCAGGGAGTCTGCTTCTCCCTCTGACCCTCCCCCATCTCATGCTCTCTCTCTCTATCTCATTCTCTCTCTCAAATAAATAAACTCTTTAAAAAAAAAAGATTTTATTTAAGAGAGAGTGTGTGTACCCATTGTGCACTAGTAGGGGAGGGGAGGGCAGAGGGAGAAGCAGACTCCCCGCTGAACAGAGAACCCAACGTGGGGCTCCATCCCAGGACCTTGGGATCATGACCTGAGCCGAAGGCAGACACTTAACCAACTGAGCCACCCAGGCACTCGATCATCTTGGAAATCTTTTTTTAAAAATGCCCAGGGGCGCCTGGGTGGCTCAGTCAGTTCAGCCTCCGTCTTTTGATTTCAACTCAGGTGTTGATCGTGGAGTCGTGAGTTCAAGCCCCATGTTGGGTTCCACACTGGGTGCAGAGCCTACTTTAAAAAATGCCAAGCCAGTCCCCAGAGATTCTGATTAAATTGATCTGCTATCAGGCACAGCCACTGGTATTTATTAAAAAGTTCCTGAGACATTCTAAAGTACAAACAAGGTTGAGAGCTGTAGCTCTGAGCTTGCTTGAGGAATGAGGTAAATTAATTTGGTAGAGGGAGGGGAGGATTATGAGTGACCAGTGCTTTCAGTATTTTTTCTAACGCAGTCCTCACAGCTGTGCTTTCCTGCGATAGGGACATTCCTAGCCCCGTCCTGTAAGTGAGGAAATTTGTTCCCATGTAAAGCAGAGAAATGTCAGGGCTCACATTCATGTGCAAAGCCCATGTTTTCTGTTACAGTTGGACTTGGGTCTTTAAGGAAAGAGTCTTCGATATTTCTGGCCTCTGGGGCTGGCAGGTTCAGAGTAGAGGTGATCTTCAAATATTTGACAGATGGTACAGAAAAGCAGACTTTGAAAGGAAGCAGTGAGATTATGCATTAAATGGCTGGTTGTCAAGTACTGTTGGACCTGCTCCAACTCAGTGTTCAACACAGCCCTCTAGGATCATAGAGATGTTGGGGCTGAGAGGAAGGACCCTAGTTGTCTGCTCCTGAGGGAGGCATGGCCACTGCTCAGTAACTCTTTGAAACTTGTTTCCATCCAGGCTTTTGCGATCCTCGCTTTAGGGTGAAGAATTTAGCTTTGCGTTAAGTTTAAATGGCAGAGCCCTTTTCTCACACTATGTTTGAGATTCAGAAGACAGGCCAGGTGTACAGCTCTACCCTGAGATAGTGTGAGATTCACGCTATTTGTGTTGTTTTGAAGAGGTAGTTATTATGCGTGAAACACAAATGCCAAAGTATAGATAGGGAAAAGTGAGTTTCGAGTTTCCTTTCCCATGCCAAGTGATATAGTTCCCTTCTTCAGAGACAGTCACTGCTAATGACTTCTTGATTATATTTCCAGAACTTGTCTGCCTTTTCAAACTCAGGTGTTGGTTTTCCATGTTTTCTTTTTTCTAAGTTTTTCTGTACCTTTTTCTCTATCATTACACCACATCGTGGAGATCATTTCACGCAATACCTGTAGAGTAGGTTTCTCAACCTTGGCACAGTTGATGTTTGGACCAGATTGTTCCTTCCTTTGGGGGGTGCCATCTTGTGTAATGTAGGGTGTTGAACAGCATCCTGGCCTCTACCCACTAGATGCCAGGAACACACACACACCCCATTGTGACAACCACAGATGTCCCCAAACATTGCAAGGATCCCCTGGGTGTAAAATTGCCCCAATGAAGAAGCACTGATGTAGTGCTGTTTTGTTCCTTTTAAGATCTACATGGTGTCCCATCGTGTACATAACACTCACTTAGCCATTTTCCTATTGATGGGCATTTTGGTTATCTCTAATGTCTTGATAACTTACATTTGGTAAATACTGGCACTGCTCCAAATGTGTTACATGTTTTCATTCATTTAATCTTCCAAACAGCCCTGTGGAATCATTGTTACTTGCCCCATTTGCCAATTGAGGAAGCTGAGGCCTAGAGAGCACATGAGAGTTCACCCATAGGAGGGTAGCAGAGTTAGAAGTTGAACCCAGACAGCCTCCAGGCTCATGCCCTTCACTGTAGAACCATACTGCCTCTTCCTACAAGCCTTGCCACAATGAATACCCTTGTGTGTTATTTTATCCATATGCAACGCCTTCTAGAGACAAATACCAGAAATGAGGTTTACTGTGTTAGAGGGGATGTGTACCTTCAGTTTTCAAAGATTTGCCGAATTACCCTCCACTGAGGTTGTGCTACTTTCTCTCCTGCCTGCACTGTATGAGAATTCTACCCACAGCCTTCTGAATGGGTCTCAGGCTTCCTTGGTCTTTTGGATGCTTGGTGTATACTGAATAAAAGGGATAAAGCAGGTGAGAAATTACTGTGTGCCTGTTGGTGAAGATAGCTCCTATAAAGGTAGCTCATGTTAACTTCATAACAGCTAAGAGTGAGGTAGGTTTTCTTTACCCCAATAATTGGCAGAGGCAAATTTTGAATCCAGAATTACTTAATATCAAACTGCTGTTCTTTCCTCTCCAGAAGTGCTGAGTTCCTCAGAGAATATTGTTTTGTGGGCAAGAATTGTACTTTTCTAATTTTAGGGGTACATGGCTGAGTACAAACAGCTATGAGAAACCACAGGATGGACATGATACCACTTCCTGCAATAATCTGTTCTACTTGAGGAATTGGAAGGGAAAAGCCAAGGGATATATTTATCTGGTAAATAGTTTAAAATACGAGGTTTATATTAATACGGACTCAGATTTATTATGATGTAGGATGCCAAAGTCATGTGGATGTTTCAAAATGAAACAGAACCAACCAGCAGAAGTTTTCTGTAATGACAAAGCTGCTTTGGGTTCTGTCCTGGACCACAGAACCAGGCATTATCTCTCCAGTTTGGAGATATTAGTTAAAAGTAGGAGAACTCCCAGGCAAAGAATACAGCTTTGTTCTCAGAGACTCTCTGGCAGTGGAGTGCTGGGGCTGGCTCACACTAGATCCCAAACCTGTTGTGTACACCTTTCTCCAGTTCTGTGCTCAGTGACATGAGTTTGGTAGCTTACAGTGGGGCCCTCATGGGAGTGTTTACACCATGGAAATTGGCAGGTGCTACAAATCACCCAGCATAACCCTGTCCTGGAGTCTAATGCAGAGAGAATTCAGGCATCTTAAGACTCTGGGTAGGGCCCTTTGTCTCCACTTTCTGCATGAGGGAAGCCTTGCTCAGCACACAGAATGGAAGCCCAGGCCACTTAGTTACTGAGCCACAACTCCTCAGCCTTAACGTGCTGTGCTGCAAATCTCCCCAACTCCTGTGGCCACTCTGATAAAAACAGAGTGGCCCTTCTTTTCACTACATCTGTATCTTTGGGGTAAATACCCAGTAGTGCAATTCCTGGGTCATAGGGTAGCTCTATTTTCAACTTTTTGAGGAACCTCCATACTGTTTTCCAGAGCAGTAATTTTTATTGTTTGATCTGTATGTGTGTATGTATGTATTTATTTTTAAAGATTTTATTTATTTATTGACAGAGAGAGAGAGCACAAGCAGGGGGAGAGGCAGAAGGACAGGGAGAAGCAGACTCCCTGCTGAGCAGGGAGTCTGATACGGGACTTGATCCCAGGACCCTGGGATCATGGCCTGAGCCGAAGGCAGACACTTAACTGGCCAGGTGCCTCTTGATCTGTATTTAAATTTCATAAAACTTATCATTGGAAAAGTAGATTCACACACCCGGTCGTTTCAAACGTTCTTCAAAGTTTTATAGTAACTAAATCAAGGATCAGTTTTTAATTTTAAATTCTAATTCATTAATTTTAATATTTATTATTAATACTTTAGTGATTAATTAATTGAAACTAAATAACGTTAAACACTCAGTTGCACTAGCCTTGTTTCCAGAACTCGGTTGTCACCAGTTGCTAATGGTATGCATGTAGAACAGCATCGGTGCAGAGTGACTCGGTGATGGGCCTAATCCATCCCACTGAATTTCCCTGCTGGATTGACACATACCTGCCTAATGAATTGCCTCTTCAGCTCTTGCATCTCCACTGCCTCTCACCAACATACACAGTTGATTCACCACACAGCCACCCAGCAAATTTTGTTAAATGTTAAGTCAGACATGCCACTCCTCAGACTCGTGCTCCCTCGATGATGTCTTATCACATTTAGGATCGGTTTCAAACTGCTCACAACCGCTTTCATGATGTGGCCCCTCCTGAACTGAGCATCTCACAGACCACCACTGCACACCTCACTCATTCTGCTTCAGCACACCATTTACTTCCCTCCGCATACCAAGTACACACCTGCTCCAGGGCCTTTGCACTTACTGTACCTCTACCCAGAATGCTCTTTCCCAAGCGTCCAAGTGCCTCACACTTGCACTACATTCAAACCTTGACTCAGTGTTGTATCCTCTGGAGGCCTCCGTCAACCACCCCATCACTCCACCCCCTGCTCTGGTATTGTTGTGTTTTGTTTTGTTTTTATAGCAATGATCTCAGCTGACGCTGTGTCCTATATGAACTTTCCATCCATGGTGGAATGTAAGGTACAGGGGAGCTGATACTTCTGCTCTAACTCTGCTCTTCCCCAGCACCTAGGACAATGCCTGGCACATACTAGACACTTAACAAATGCTTGTCACATGGATGGATAGCTGTCTTCATGTCTCATTTGCCTCCTGATCTGGAGCCTTCCGTGATCTTGGGAACAGATAGCATTGGCTATGCCCCTTCCCAACCCTGAGAAGGGGCAGGAATGCTGCAGAAGATATTCTGACCTCCCTCCATGTGTGTCTATGCACCTGTGTGTATGTGTGCATGCACATGCATGTGTGACCAGGGTGAGGGATGAGGGGATTCTTATCCTAGAGACTCTGGGACCACCCAGAAGGCCCTGTCATCCTCATGACTTTTCTTCTCCCACAGCCCCACCTTCTCTGCACTCTGCCCTTCTCCAGATGCGGAGCCTCAAGGGGGAGGAAAGGATGCCTGCTGCACGAGGGAAGTCCAAGTCCAAGGTAAATAGTGATTGTTCTTGCAGGGAAGTTCCATCTTGTAAGACATGGGTCATTTGCTTTCCTTCCATGGAAACTTCCTGCCTGACAGAATCCCATCCAAGATCTGGTCTCTGTTTCCTCCATCACCACGGAGGGTAGGAGCATGAGAAGAGCTCCAGCAACCCACGTAACCACTCAGCACCCTCCTCTCCTTTTTTCTCAGTGTGCATATGGCCATTCACCTATTTGTCAAGCATCTCCAGGTTGTTTGCCTAGGCTGCTCCCGAGACGGAAGAAGAGAGCCACCATGATTTCTCAAGGTAGACATGAGTGCCTAGGCAGGATCTGCTGAGGCAGAGGAGGATTCGAGGTTGTGCTCTAGAGTTAATCTGTTGATGTCACTTTGTTTTTACTTGTATAGCCCATATTTACAAGGAGGAAATCTAATTTTAAGAGACTCCACATAACCTTGTATTCAGATTGGGTTCGTTGGAACCAGGCCAGTGAGTCAACCTTCTGTTAAAAAACATGCTTCACCACTTTAGATGATGAAGTGATTTTCTAAAATAAACATCTTGGATGCAGTTTCTCTAACAAACACTTTTGCCCTCTAAGTTATGTGTTCCCTGTTGCTGCTGTAACAGAGTTCCACAAATTGGGCTGCTCAAAACACATGTTTATGGTGCACAGTTTGTGGGTCAGAGATAAGGCACAGTGCAGCTTGGCTGGGTCCTCTGCTTTCAGTCTCACAAGGCTGAAAAAAGGTGTTGGCTGGCTGTGTGGTCACATCTGAGGCTCTTCAAAACTCATCGTTTATTAGCATATTCAGTTTCTTCTGCTTTCCACCTGGCCCCCTTCCATCTTCAAGCCAGCAATAGCAGGTCAAATCAGGCTTCAGATCTCTCCGACTTCCCTTTCCACTCTCCTCTTCCAGCTGGTGAAAATTTCCCTACTGTTACGGGCTCCGTGATTACATCATCTGCCTAGATAAGGATTTAAGATCAAGTGATCAGTAACCTTGCTTACACCTACAAAGAACCTTTGGCCCTGTGTAGTTGAGCCATGTGCTCTTTAGAGAGTATGTAGTTAGGGGCATGAATCAGAAGCCAGACTGCCCAGCTTGAACTCCAGCTCCCCCGTTCACTAGTTTGGGCACTTCCTTCCATAAGTCACCCTGCCGTTTCTGGGCCTCCCATTTCCTGATCTGTAGCATTGCTGTGATTCTCTCAGCAGTATAGTCACTGGCTAACATGGGTCAGTACCTGTAGGGTGCTTAGAAAGATGCTCTGCCTTTGTCAGTGCCCAGTAAATCCAAGTTGATACTGCTTTTTATGGCACATAGTTTTTAATAATAGCTATGTCATATTGTGTTGTGTATTTATTTTATTTAATGCCATTGCTCCTCTTGGCCTCAGAACCTCAAATATTTCCGGAATAGATTCCTGGCACCATGGATCTCCCATGTTTGGGACAAGTTCCTTGTTGTTTCCAGCCATATGGAAGCATAAGCCTGTGGTGAAAGGACATGTGACTTTCTGTTTCAGGTGCCAGTGACATTTGGGGATTTGGCCATCTACTTTTCCCAGGAAGAGTGGGAATGGCTGAGCCCCATTCAAAAGGATCTGTATGAAGATGTCATGTTGGAGAACTACCAGAACTTGGTCTCTCTCGGTAAGGCTCTCTCCACCCCGTAATCCACAACCAACCCATTGTGGGACATAAATTAGTCTAGTTAGGAAAACAGAAGCCACTGCAGTTTGTTTTTTTTTTTAGCAGCTTTATTGATGTATAATTCACATGCTCTACATACAAAGTATGTAATTCAGTGGTTTTTAATGTATGCGCAGAGTTGTACATCCATCACCAGTCCGTTTTAGAACATTTTTATTACCCCAAAAGAAACCCCATATCCATTAACAATCAGTCTTCATTCCCCTTGCCCACTGATTCCTCCAGATTAGGTGAACATCAATCTGGTTTCTGTCTCTGAATTTGCCTATTCTTGGCCTTTCATAGAAATGGAATCATTAGTATGTGGTCCTTTGTGTCTGCCTTCCTTAACTTAATGTTTTTGAGGTTCATCTACATTGTAGCACGTATCAGTACCCCCTTCCTTTTCATGGCCAATAGTATTCCACATTTTGTTAATCTATTCATCAGTTGACGGGCATTTGGGCAGTTTTTCACTCTGGCAATTGTGAATATTAACGTTTGAGTTTTTGTGTGGACGTATATTTTCATTTCTTCTGGGTGTATACTTAGGAGTGGAATTGCTGTCACATAGTAACTATGTATGTAACCTTTTGAGGACACCTGGTTGTTTTGAGAGAATTTTTTTTTTTTTTAAAGATGTTATTTATTTATTTGAGAGAGAGAATGAGAGAGAGAGAGCATGAGAGGGGGGAGGGTCAGAGGGAGAAGCAGACTCCCTGCTGAGCAGGGAGCCCGATGCGGGATTCGATCCCGGGACTCCAGGATCATGACCTGAGCCGAAGGCAGTCGCTCAACCAACTGAGCCACCCAGGCGCCCCTGTTTTGAGAGAATTTAATACGAGGAATCTACTTAACAGGTGTGATTAAAGGGTAAATAGTGGACAAATATAAATAGTAATGCAGAGTTGGTAACCGCAGGATGCAAGCACCATCCTTGGGCTAGGGATACAAAGGGGAGAGTTTGGGGTTTTTAGGACTTAGAGGAAGGGACTCAGACTTCTGAAGGAAGAGAGAGGTGTGCTGACTAGTGTGTTTATACTCATGAAGGGTCAGGATGAGGCTAATTCTGAGTGTAGGGGAAAAAAAGAAGCAGAATTAAAACCAGCAGAGCCCCTGTTGGTGGATGCTGACAGGGAGCTTCTGGTGAAGAAGTGTAGTTTGCAGAGCCCCAGCCCCTGCACACAAAACAGATCAGAGAAGGGTGGGATTGGGAGCCGAATGGTAGCAGCTTAATAGCCAGCCTCAGGAGTTTCTGATCTGATTTTTCAAGAGAATAATTGGCTTTGTAGAGTTAGAAATGAGCAATTCCGCTTGCTATAACTGAACTTTGACCGTCCTCCTCCTCCACCTGCCCTTCACATCCTCTGTGCTCCCTTTGTGCTCATAAATCCCCATTCCCGTTGACACAGGGCTTGGCTCTGACATCTGTGGCACCCAGGTCATGCTCAGTGCTGATGTTTTTCCTGAATGCAGGACTTTGCTTTCGGAGGCCAAATGTGATCACCTTATTGGAGAAAGGGAAAGCACCTTGGATAGTGGAGCCAGTGAGGAAACGCCGGGGTGTGGGTGAGTGACAGAGAATCAAGGCTTACTTGTTGCTATTGTTTGTAAGAGCACCCTCCATCTTGAGAGGGCAGCCTCTTGAAGATGTTTGCAAACTGCCAGTTTCCATACCTTAAAGGCCCCCAGGCCTGTAGTAGTGTGAGCCCCCAGAAGGAGAATAACCAACATTTAATAAACCCTTCCTAGGTCCCAGATGTGCTTGTACAGGTTCCTCCCAGTCCTATAAGGTAGGTACTATTATTATTCCTGTTTTATTTATGAGGAAACCAAAGATCAAGGAAGTTCAGTGACTTGCCTAGGGTAACCCAGCTAGGAAGTGGCAGCACAGCTGGGCTTGAACCCCAGATTCTGGTCTCAGAAGCTCAGCTCTTAATGCCCTTATCCCCACCTATCACATTCCCTGCCTCGGCATATTCCACCTTCTCTCATGATAGCATTGCTAATGGTAATGTTCAAACTTGCATGATTTTCTTCATTCTTTAAAAAAAAAAAAATATTTTCCACAAATGTTCATTTTGACTACTTTCTAAGAACTCGTTTCCTTTTCTGATAGATTTCTCTTTGGTTAGGTTATTTTTACTTATTTATTTTAACAGTTCTATGAGTGGCTTTTTTGTTGTTGTTGTTGTTTGTTAAGTAGGGTCCACACCTAGCGTGGAACCCAGCATGGGGCTTGAACTTAATGACCCTGAGCTCGAGAGTCGGATTCTTAACCAATAGGCACCCCTGAGTTTTTTTAATTGTAAAAAAATCATAACATTGAATTTGTCATCTTAACCATTTTAAAGTGTAGAATTAAGTATATTCACATTGTTGTGCAACAGATATCCAGAACTTTTCCATCTTGTAATAACTTTTGAAACTATATTTACTCAACACTGATTCTCCCTCCACCCTTCCACCTAGCCCTTGGTGGCCACCTCTCTTTGTATTTCTCTGATTTTGAGCACCATGGATACTTATATGAATCAAATCATACAGTATTTGTCCTTTTTTCTTGCTGAGCATAATTTCCTTGAGCTTCATCCATGTTGTAACATGTGACAGGATCTTATTTTTTTTTTTTGAAGACTGCATAATATTTCATTGTATATGTCATATTTTCTTTATCCATTTATCAGTGGATATTTGGGGTGTTCTGCTTCTTGGCTACTTTGCATAATGCTGCAACGAACATAGGAGTACAGATATGTATTTAAGATCCTGATTTCAAATTTTGGGGTATGTACCCAGAGGCGGGATTGCTGGATCATATGATAGATCTATTTTTTATTATCTGGGGAATCTCCATACTGTTTTCCATAGTGGCTGCACCATTTGTCATTTCCACCAACAATGTGTAAATGTTTCAACTTCTTGTCAACACTTGTGATTTTTTGTTTTTTTGACAGTGGCCATCCTTATGGGTGTGAGATGATATTGTGGGTTTGATTTGCATTTCCCTAATGATTAGTGAGGTTGAGCATCTTTTCATGTGTTTATTGGCCATGTGTCTGTCTTCCTTGGAGAAGTGTCTGTCAAGTCCTTTGCCCATTTCTGAAAATAGGATTGTCATTTGTTGATGAGTTACAGTTCTTTTTTTTTTTTTTTTAAGATTTTATTTATTTGACACAGAGAGACACAGCGAGAGAGAAAACACAAGCAGGGGGAGTAGGAGAGGGAGAAGCAGGCTTCCCATGGAGCAGGGAGCCCGATGTGGGGCTTGATCCCAAGACTCTGGGATCATGCCCTGAGTGGAAGGCAGACACTTAATGACTGAGCCACCCAGGCCCCCTTACAGTTCTTCATATATTCTGTATATTAGTCCCTTATCTGATAGATGATTTGTAATTATTTTCTCTTATCCCATAGGTTGCCTTTTCACACTGTTGTTTTTATTTGTACACAGATGTAGTCCCATTTGTCTTTTGTTGTTGTTGCCTTTGCTTTTTGGTGTCATATCTGAGAAATTAGTGCCAAATCTAATCTCCTGAACCTTAACCCCAATGTTTTCTTCTAAGACTTCAGTAGTTTTAGGTCTTACATTTAGGTCTTTAATCTGTTTGAGTTAATTTTTGTGTGAGTTGTAAGGGTCCAAGATCATTCTTTTCCATGTAGATATCCAGTTTTCCCAACACTGATTGTGGAAGAGACTGTGCTTTCCTCATTGAGTAACCTTGGCTCCCTTGCTGAAAATCATTTGACTAGATATGCAAGAGTTTATTTCTTGGCTTTCTATTCTGTTCTATTGGTCTTTATCTTTTTTCCACTACCACACTGTCTTAATTACTGTTGCTTTGTAGCAACATCTGCGTATCAAAAGAAATAGTCAATAGTGACCAACTGACTGAGCCACCCAGGTGCCCCAGAGTTGTGTTTTATTTTCATTTAGCTCGAAATATTTAAAAATTTCTTTTGTGATTTCATGTGTTATTTAGAAATGTACTATTTAATCTCCAAGTAGTTAGGGATTTTCCAGTGATATTTCTGTTACTGATTTCTAGTTTAATTTCACTGTGGTCTGAGAGCATTGTGTCATTTCTGTTATTTGTTAAGGTATGTTTTAAGGTCCAGAATGTGGTCCATCTTGGTGAATTTTCTTTTCTTTTTTTTTTTTTTTAAGATTTTATTTTTACTTATTTGTCAGAGAGAGAGGCAGAACACAAGCAGGGGGAGAGGCAGGCAGAGCTCCCTGCCGAGCAAGGAGCCCGATGTGGGACTCGATCCCAGGACCCTGGGATCATGACCTGAGCCGAAGGCAGCGGCTTAACCGACTGAGCCACCCAGGCGCCCCCCATCTTGGTGAATTTTCTATGTGAGCTTGAGAATAATGTGACTTCTGCTGTTGTTGAATGAAGTAGTCTAGAGATGTCAGTTATATCCAGTTGAATGAAGGTATGGTTGAGTTCCACTGATTTTTCTTCTTTCTGGATCTTTTCATTTATGAGAGAGGGATGTTGAAGTGTCTTAACTATGATAGTGGATTCATATATTTCTCCTTGTGGTTTCATCAGTTTTTATCTCTTGTAATTTGATGCTTTGTTGTTCGGCATATACCCACTAAGAATTGTTATGTCTTCTGAAGAATTGATTCCTTTGTCATTATATAATGCCCCCCTTTATCCATGATAACTTTCAGTGCTTTTAAGTCAGCTCTGTCTAAAATTAATATAGCTGCTCCTCCTTTCTTTTTATTTGTGTTACTATGGTATATTTTTCTCCATTCATTTACTTTTAATCTGTGTCTTTATATCTAAAGTGAGTTTCTTAATAGGCAGCACACAGTTGGGCTGTGTTTTTTAATTCACTCTGAATTAGATTAAATTCAGTCTCTTTTTTTTTTTTTTTAAGATTTTATTTATTTATTTGAGAGAGAGAGACTGAGAGAGAGAGAGCATATGAGAGGGGGAGGGTCAGAGGGAGAAGCAGACTCCCCGCCGAGCAGGGAGCCCGATGCGGGACTCGATCCAGGGACTCCAGGATCATGACCTGAGCCGAAGGCAGTCGCTTAACCAACTGAGCCACCCAGGCGCCCTTTTTTTTTTTTTTTTTAAAGATTTTTTATTTATTTATTTAGACAGAATGAGATAGAGAGAGCATGAGAGGGAGGAGGGTCAGAGGGAGAAGCAGACTCCCTGCCGAGCAGGGAGCCCGATGTGGGACTCGATCCCGGGACTCCAGGATCATGACCTGAGCCGAAGGCAGTCGCTTAACCGACTGAGCCACCCAGGCGCCCTCAGTCTCTTTTAATTGGTTTAGACTGTTGACATTCAAAGTGATTATTGATATAGTTGGATTGATATCTACTACATATATAATAAATACTTCTATTTGTTGTCTTTATTCTTTGCTCCTGTTTTTGTCTTCCACTCTTTTTCTGCCTATTGTGGTTTTATTTTTTAATTTAATTTAATTTTTTAAAAAAATATTTATTTATTTGAGAGAGAGTGGAGGAGAGGGATAAGCAGACTCCACGCTGGCAGGGAGCCCGATGAGGGGCTTAATCCCAGGACCCTGGGATCATGACCTGACCCAAAGGCAGATGCTTAACTGACTGAGCCACCCAGGCACCCACCCCTTCCTATTGTGGTTTTAAATGAGCATTTCTATGATTCCATTTTCTGCCCTTCCTTAGCATATCAGATATACAGATATAGATATAGGTATCTATAATATATCTTTTTTTTTTTTTTAAGTGGTTGCCCTAGAATTTATACGTTTACAGCTAATCCAGGTCCACTTTCAGATAACACTATACCACTTCATGGGTAGTATGAGGACTTTATAATAATAAAATAATGGTAATTCCTTCCTCCTATCATCTGTATCATTGCTGTCATTCACTTCATTTATATATAAATATATGTAAGCAAGTACGTATATATAAGCAAATATGTATATATTTACATGTATACATAGGATAAATACATAAGCATACACAATTGAATACATTGTTTCTATTATTTTGAACAAACTATTATTGTTTCAGTCAATTAAGGATAAGAAAAATAAAGGGATTTTTTGTCTTCACTCATTCTTTCTTCATTGCTTTTCCCTTCTCTGTGTAGATCCAAGTTTCTGACTTGTATTATTTTTCTTCTAACAGACCTCTTTTAACATTCTTTTTTTTTTTTTTTTAAGATTTTATTTATTTATTTGACAGAGAGAGACACAGGGAGAGAGGGAACACAAGCAGGGGGAGTGGGAGGGAGAAGCAGGCTTCCCGCCGAGCAGGGAGCCCGATGCGGGGCTCGATCCCAGAACCCTGGGATCATGACCTGAGCCGAAGGCAGACGCTTAACGACTGAGCCACCCAGGCGCCCCTCTTTTAACATTCTTGCAAGGCAGTACTGCTGGCCACAAATTCCCTCAATATTTATTCATCTGAGAAAGTCTTTTTTCCTCTCACTTTTGAAGGCTATTTTGACAGAGTACAGAATTCTAGGTTGGTGGTTTCTTTCTGTCACCATTTTAAATATTTCACTCCACTTCTCTTGCTTGCATGGTCTCTAATAATTTGGATG